TTGTAAGCTCCTCCTTACAAATGTCTAGGATATAAAAGGACCGGTTGGAGGTGGAAAGTTAGTCAGACAGGCAATCAACTAACCAGGCTATCAACCGAGGAGTCTGGCGATCAAAAAACCAGCCAATCAATCAACAAACTAATCAACTCAAACCAATCCAATTCCACGTTTAATCTAAGTTCACAACAATATTATATTTGTGCCACAATGAGTACTGTAGCAAAATAACTGGAAAATTTAGGACATAGAAAATATCTCACAATCGTAGAAAACAATGATCACTAACAAAATTTGTAAAAGTCTAAATACCTTTAACAACATCGCAGTATGCTCCAATCAACCAATTAACTGCTTCAACAGGAATATTTTTGTCTGGCAGGTGTTTTTTAAAAGCTTCTTTCAAACATTCCAACCCAACAGATTCAAGAATGATGCCTGGTTCTTCATCATCATCCAAACAATCCACAAGCACAGTTACAAGACGATCATGGAATTCCGCTGACAACATCCGCACATACCCTACAAGAATTGACACGGTATTGTGAATGTTATATCGAAGAATAAGATACCTATTATTAGTTATTTTTCATAGTCATTTCTCAATGATCGAACTTCAACACAACAAAGATCATTTGGTTAACAGACCGTCTAATGTTATCACAGGCATGCGTTCGAGAGCTTTCTGCAGTTCTGTTTCACTCATTTGAACCACATCTAGTAAATCTTCAACAGTATAGCTGAAATTTGTCTATAAACTCTTGAACTTTCTAAACATTAAATAAAAAATTGCATGAATTCTTATCGCTTGTAATTAAAATCGGCTATAAACAATTACCATCATTTAATATTAAAATCAGCAGCTAAACTATACACCTTTGAAGACCGCAATATGATCTTCCCACTCGTAAAATACTTCAACTGATTATTTATATTGACTGAATATAACTTAAATTATTACAGCATCATTGCTTACAACTTATCGTTCTTGTTAAATTCATCATCCCATTCCAATTCACTCTCATGTAGTTTTTCTTTCAACCGCTGAACTGTTACATAAGTCATTTTTCGTAGTTCCGTAAAATTATTTTTCATTCCAATAACCTATAAAATAATAATTTTTGGCAGGAATATGTCCATCTAATTTAGAAGAATTCAGCATTTAAGTAGTGATCAAATTACACCAATTAATTCTAAGCAAGCCATGTAATCTATGTAGATTTTATTTCCAAACTTTAGATCTTAGTAATTTGGAAAATACATGTATATATGATCCAGGTAAAATAAGCATAAAACATTTTACCTAGAAAATAACAATAATGATTCAATAAAACGAAATTCAAATAACAGTACCTTTCGAACCGTTTTATTACTTTTATTAGCAACAGCCTCATCGTTAAAGTGAAACTCTGGTAAAAGTAATAACGCATTTGATGTTACTACTTCCTTTATATCATATGTGGTATCATGGGTACACAAAACAGGACTGTCTTCTTGGTCACCGCGAATAACAAGCCTAAAATTTTTCAGATGTTTAGAACTCTATAATGCAGATGTTTAGAACTCTATAATGAGTGAGTAACTTTTTTTTTTCAAACTCTTAAATTTCATTGCTCTATCCCTTCCTTATCTTATGCTAAAGACAGACCTTCTCTTTTATTTTAGCAAAAAAATTCAAAACGCTTACTGTTCACCGGTCATTATTTGGTCGGCTAATTCTGAATTGATTTCGACTAAACGATAATCTCCCGAAAGTAATGGCGATGAAAATTCTAAGCATTGCAATTCCGTCTGAAGAAAGAAAAATAAAATAAACGAGTCGGTAATTAAATAATATTTCTGTGGTCATGTAAAATTTTTGCCTTTTCCAAATTGCTTTTGGAGGCAAATTTATAAAATTTCGCCTACAATTATTACTTCAAGGTTAACGTCGAACAGGTCACATTTTCCTTTTGAAAATCTATCATTCTGGGTAGAAAATTCCATGTGAACGATATCTACCTGAAAATATTTAAAGTATATACTTAGTTTTTGGAGTACATAAAGCTCTTAAAGGATACGCTTAAAAAAAATTCATGGCCATCCAGGAAATGAATATAAAATACTCATCATTCTCCTTATTCTACAAGAAAAATTTTAAATGTAACATTGAGCTTCATGTTAATGAACTACACCGTTGCATTTAAGTCGTGTTTTATTTCTTAGAATGCAATTTTAAATATCGTATATTCGATCAACTTTAACTGTCATGTGTACTCAGCTTCTGGTTCATGGTATTCTTTAGTTGCTTCAGATCTTTGCATATTTTTATTTGAAATTGAGATATAAATCCCAATTATTTAGGATATGTATAAAATCAGTTCAGCATTTTCACGTTCAAGGTATATTAAACATCAATGATATAATGTTAATATTTAAGAAGACTGATACAGCCTGAAAAAAAAAAGTTAACGAATTTACAGAAGTAGAATTAGATCCAACATTTTGTTCCAAATGTTTCGTCGGGATTCTCTTTACAAATTTATCCATATTGTTTGGCTGAAATGATCACGTTTGACGCTAATCATACAGCACATCCCAATCAATGCAAAGTATTCATATGCTTAGTTTTATTTGTAGTGCATAATGCATTTTCATATATGTGTATTTACCTGTACGTGGAAGTATCTGAACGCATGTACATACTTATGTGTATATATGAAGAATGACGGTGCACAATAGTGACCTACAACGTATAATTCATTATTTCTCACATATAGAGACGAACATAAATCGTAACATAACCTAAACTGAAACAATCACCGTAATAAAGTAATTTCTATGCATCGTAGTATATATAGAAATCCATTATAACTCATACATATGTTCATGCATTGCACGCACCCTACAAGCATTCATTATCTGATGATGGCGTATGCTGCATTGATATGTATTACAGCTACTACACGCGTTGCGTACTTATCCTGCATACACGTAGTTATCGCATGTACAATCAATTATGCTAACATAATTTAAATTACTGATTTATAACATGAAATATTACTGCCACAGTAAATAAAAATTACTCCGCCTTTCTCCTCCCAAGAAAAAAACTCCGCTAATTTAAATACTGCATTTCGCGCTTGCATTGCAATGTTTTGTTTGTGTTGCATGACATTCACGACGTTGCATGCAAAACCTTTCCACGCTGAATTACGGTATAGGAGAAAGAAAGGTGTCGGTTATTCCTTCATAAAAATGAAATTAAAAAATCTCCAAACTTCTGAAATTTGAAGATCTATAAAAATGGAAGGTATTAGGAGGAAATGGAATAGTCCGACGTTTAATTCTATCGTCATCTTCTTTGTGCTGAGATTTTTATTTCGACACAATCTAAATTGCATTCACGTGACGCATAACGTCGTATCGATCACCATATGCCAGACAGTGATTTAATTTAATTTCAAAATTGTTTAGTTTAGTTTTGGTCAGTTTAATAATTATTTATTTATTTTAATGATATTTAGTTTAATGTTTATTTAGTTTAGTGAATACACTTAACGGCTGCTTGTAAGTTCTTAAATAATAATGCCGATGTAGTTTTGAAGCCTTGAAATTGCAAGGCAGAATTGTTTGGCTGATAACACGAATGATAACAGTTATTTATTGTTGTCATCGTTATCACCCTCATGCTTCCCAATATTTGATTCTGAAGAATCATTTGAAAAAGTACCTGCTTGAATGGATTTAGATATATCAAATTAAAATATATTTTAATCACAGTATCAAAATGATTTATGCACTATATAATTTTCAATCCTTTCCTCTATTTAGACCAGCTATTACGATCATTTCCTTAAGTTATATTTATTTCTTTAGAAGCACTTCAATTATTGTGGTCAAGACATTGCTTAGTTCTCAACAAATCTATTGCATTAAAATAGAATCCCTGCTTTTTTTAATCAAATAAATTCGCTTATAAAGAAACGGAGGTTGAAATTAAAATGATTTCAAATAAATTTAAATGTCGAAATCCCGCATATTTAATAGCACTCATTTGTCTGCTATTGCAAAAATATATTATTTTGTAAATAATAAAATTGCTTCCAGTTTTCTGTTACAATGACCAAAAAAGATGCATATAAATAAAATAGTTAATGAGCATTGCGGACTTCAAACGATAAAAGAAGTGAAAAAATGAAAATAATTTAAAGTATACTTTGATTATGACATGTTCGCTTGCATTGTTGCTAACAATATTGCTGTCATTGTTCTTGCTGTTACTGCTATTGATGATGTTATGCAAATTAACAAAAGCATTTTTTCTTTATTATACGAGACAACTAATTAAACTTAATCAATACTTGATAGCAATCTAATTAATAAATCATTTCACACACAGCAGATTTAAAAAAGAGACAATAATAATATGTACATGTAAAAATTCGGGATAAAGTGATCAAACATTTTTAATTAGTTAGAATCAGTTTATTAGCAAAAGGTAGCAGAAAAAAAATTAAGTAATCTGATTAGCATATCAATGTCGAATAATACATCCAATGATTAATTAACAGATATGAAACTCTAAGAAATAATAGAATAACTTTCAACTTAGTTCACCTTTTAAAAAAGCTACTGTAATAAGCAATAATTTATTTGCTAAATTATCATCAAATGAAATTTTCATATATTGATATGTAAGTAAAGTAAATGAAGAAATTTCGAAACTCGTTTTAAAGTAAACTTTAGATAACGATATTTGTTATTTGATAAAAACGGCAAATGGTACGAATAGTTCGATAGTGTCTTTATTTTCCTTTGAGAAAAAAAGAAATAAGTGAATAATAATCTTATCAAAACTTTTGATTGACTTTTTGTTATTCATTTCAGTTTCCATTTCTTGTTATAAATTAATAGTTAGTATGGAAGAAATAAATTATGAGGAATGTTTTAATTAATTTAATGATCGCTAGAAGGGATAGCTGTAATATCAGAAATACTCGATAGTTGATCACGCAGCATTCATCACATACATTCACCATTCATCAGACAAATGTATTAATCAAGTCTAGTCAATACTTGCTAGCAGTCTAATTAATATATTATTTGACAGCCAACAGTTCAATTGCGTTTCATCAATTGAAAATATTAATCATAAATTGGAAACTTGTTAACATGATTGATATGGTACTGTTTGCTTGTTCATATGAAACTTTTTGCTATTTATAATTGCACAAAATAAAAAATGAAAATTTCATTTTTATTAAAAACAAATTAAAATTAAGAGTAAAAAGAATAAAAAAATCTTCAAATTATGCTATTTTAATGCCAAACAATTATTTCTTATTGTTTTAAATTTTGGATAATAACGAAAAGAGAACAAATGTATCAAATTAGTTGAAAACAAATTTGCATTTCCTTTTTTAATTCATCTATTAATAAATGAAATTTTATCATGCTTATGTTAAAAGATTTTCTATTCGAATAATAGTGTATTTCATAAAAAAAGCTGGCTGTGCAAATTAAATAAAAATATTCAAATATTTTCCCTCGAATTAGTTTAGTTTATAAAATTCGGTTAAAAGAAATAGATAGCTTAATTTACAAAGTAATAGATTAAATTCGAAATTGGTTCAAAAGAATTAATAGTTTGTAAAGAAAATAAAAAACTTTATGATAGATGAAGAGCATAGAGGTAAAAGAAAAATATGAAAACTAAAAGGAACTTTTCTATTTTATTTGTTTATTCTTTCATTTATTAAAATTATAATTTTGGAAATTCTTCAAATTAATTTTTTCCAAAATCTTTTATATTTTTGAGATAAAATTGATGGAAATGAAGCACTAAGAGAAAGCCTAAATTTATAAAAGTCTAAAGTAAACAAATCAATTTGAAAGGATGAAAAGTACAGGACAAATAAGTGGAAAAGTAATGGGAGCATTCGTATTAAAGTAAGAAGAAATATTTGAGATGGATGATCAATTTATCCGTCTAAAATGTATTCACTTTATTTTTAGTTTTTGCTTTCTTCTTAATTAACTAAATTATCTTAACTTAGCTATTTACCATAAAGGACTTTAAATAATTTGATATATCTTTTCAATACTTCAGTATATCTATTTATTATTTCAATATATCTGTTCAATTGTTTTGCCATCATTTACATAATAACATGTCGTTTCATAATAAGAATAACAAAACTGTACGATTAAATTGCTGAGAAATATTTCTATAATCAATGAACTCTTTTTTTCACACCGCAAAGAAGAATGTTAGGAATTAAATATTGCAACTGATTAAACCATTATCTGTAATAAAGAATCAAAAGAAGGTGATCTCACTAATATTATTGTTTGCGAAAAAGAAGAAAGCATTTGAAAATGAACGCTTTGTCGATGATCGTCATGGTTCAAGTGATGAACACGACAGTGTCAAATCGGATTGGCCAATAGGTACGATGATGCGATAAACATATATGGCTCAAAATTTAATTTTGAAAGATTTATAATTCAGCATATCCACTAATCTCTTAGTCCGTTATATTTCGTATCTGAAAGATTAACATGTTTGAAGTTTGAATAAAATCAATCATTTTTTTTAGATGTTTCGAAATAGCAAATTATGATATCATTTTCTATTGTGTTCCATATTGATAAAAAGTTATTTAATTGGAGAATGATTTTAGAGTTTCTGATCACAGATACAACTGGTATTATACATGTGATGTTTTATTAACGTAGGCGTTGATGGGTATTTTATGAAACCTTAACAAAAGCATAAAATGCGTGTCAAATTTTTGCTATGATTTTGATAATTTATTTTGATCATTTTTAATTTCATTATAAACAATGCTTCTAATACAATACATGTTTTGAACAATTCAAAATCTTAAAATAATGTTTTATGCGATCATATGTCAATAGTAATTCCTTATATTATTTCGTCGATAAAGATTGTTTTTAATAGTTCTGGGAATTAACCTTATTTTGGATTAAACTTTAACAATTTCATCCTTAGTGATTGTTAATCATAATTAAAAAATACACTAAGCATATATTTTAAATTAAATCTATTTTGAGTTATTTCGATTCTATTTATAACAGATAAAATTTCAACAAATAAAAAAGCAAGTATTCGAAAACAAGCCTAAATTAATTGTAATAGTTTAATTTATAATCTCCACAGTCAAACAAATGCAATTTATATTGAAAAAATGCGCACTAAGACAAGCTTTTTTCATTCCGTCCTTCAATAAATTTTAAGAGCGTGTAAATATCGTGATCCATTAGGAAAATCAGACCAAGGACAGACTGGTGGTGTGTTGTTCGGTTGGTGACGAAGGTTGGTACGGTGTAACTTTGAGGTTGGTGGTAGCTGTTTGTCAATAACTATTTTTCAAGAAGTGGTAAGTTGATGTAGAAGCATGATATTTCGTGTCATGCTGTAAAACGTGGCAAAAGTTTTGTATGAAGTAAACGTTAATATTATATCACATTTTCGAATCATTATGCTGCTTGTAGTTTTTACCAACCTCATCTAAAATCTCCTAAAATTAAAATGATGAGACTGATTTTTACAATCTCTTACATCTTTTCGTCCGTTTTCAACATTCACGCTCACGTTCAAGTCAAAAGTTTCACTTATAAATGGGTAGATTTCACGGTGAAGAAGTGGGGAAAGTGCAATAGGATGCCTTATAACTTCCCAGTATGATTGCTAATCTCACTGATTGTATAACGCTTCGAGATATGTTTATTATTTCTAAGAGTACTCCACCGAAATGTGTCGGAGACTCAGAGAATAGTTATATTTTTTTTCTAGGTAAATTTAACTTGTGATAGTGAGATTAATATATTCATGGCTTGTGGAGTTGCGTTGAAGAGGCCATACGATTATGATGATTATCTAATTGCGGAAGGAAGTGAAGTGAAACGTGCGCGTCATACGCAAACTCATTGCTCACCATTTCGTGCACAGATTGGCACTATCGCTGCGTCACTACCAACTTCAGGTGCATCAAGTGCTTTGATGCAGCTGCGAGATCCAAAAGTAATATCACTCAATTCTTTCTCTTTGGTTCATTACTTCTGTTTAGATTGCAATTTTTCTTAGGCATCAAGAAAAATCATATGGTTTGTTGTCATTTTGATAATTTACATAGTAGAGACGACTCTATATTAATATCTAACGAGGGCGGGAGAGGGAGGGCTAACTCGACCAATTATCAAATATTCTATCTTAGGACACAAATCGTTTGAGCAATTCTTTTTCAGTTCATTCAAATCTAAATGCTATTTAGTACACTTCTATTTTGTGGCATCATTTTTTACCAGAAGAGTTTTATTGATTTTCCATTCATATGCTAGCAAGAATTCCTATATGCTAAGAAAGAAAAGTTCTTTTCGAACTTACATAAATTATTTATGTTGCAGGATCGTGAGGCCTATGACAACTCGCCATTTGCACAAGTTGGCAGTAACTTACAGCTTTCATCGGGACAGTTAGAATCGTATTTGCGGGCTGAAGTAAGTAATATATGAACGAGTATATATGTTTATGTATAGACCGCTTTCTGTTCATGTTTGATTCTGGTCTTATGTGTAGTACGTCATTTACAGGTACGTTATCTAAAACGTCGCCATCTGATTCCACATCGCATGCTTACTTCAAATGTGGTGAACGCAGATAACGGTGAAAGAACTGGTGCCACACAGTACGGGTCGCATTTTCCTTGTAATTTAGTATCTGGGAATGGAACAAATTCAGAGCATGGTTATCGTGAAGCACCATTGTCACCCAATAATAATGTGAGATTTATGGAAATTTCCAAAATTGATTTCTTAATTTGAGATTGTATTCAGACATGTTATAACGAAAGTAATGGGCCCGACTTCTTGGACTTCTTAATTCTTTCTGATTGTTTTAATTGTGATGAGCAGCTTATTTATGAAAATTGATCTTTGACTATATGAGTTTATTATTATTTATGGAATTTTAGTCGGGCAGTGAATCAGAAGGCGAAACAAATGTGCAGAAGACATCAGTAATGAAGGACTTGTATGAGAAACCACAATTTTCTCTGAAGCAGGTAAACTTTTGAATCTCAGACTGTGTTTTTTTCAACGAGTTACATGAATGACTAGTTTTACGAAATCATTGAAATCAAAAAATATAGTCGCGCACGGAATTATTCTGGAATGAGTCTTCTGTTTCAATTCTTTTTTTTATTTGTTTAACAGTGACTTAAACATCATGAAGTATTATCATTTACTGAAGTGTATAAGCTATTATTTGGCTGTTAAAAGGAATAGGAAGTTATCAGCGATCAGACATCTTTAGGTATTCATGACTGTTCGTGATCTCATTGAATTCTGAACTTTTTCGGTTTTCAGGTGATGATGATCTGCGAAAGGCTGTTGAAACAACAAGAAGTACGTCTTAGATATGAATATGAAACAGTATTGAACCAACGCTTAGAAGGTAATTTTTATTTTTTTATTGCATGTGTGAGGAGTAATTTTTTAGCAATAGGTGAAGAAAACATACAGCTTCATCATCTCATAGCATTTGGAAAACATTTCCACATCACCCTTTCTACTCTATCTACCTCTACTTCCCGATATATTTCCTCCTTCAAAACTGAGATGCATTAATTTCAAAAGGTTCCAAATTTTTTTTTTTTAAGAACAGCATGAGCAATATGTGCAGTTTGCTCGCGAACAAATTCAACGTCAACAAGATGATGGTGTGGAATTGTCTTACCTTTCCTAATTTTGCATTTCTCATTTCATCACGCCAATGAAGTTGAGTAAATGACTTTATTTCCTTATTCGGTGGGTATTTGTCCGTTTGACAAATCACTCTGACGATGATTTCCCTAGTAGATGATTCGTCAATCGCTTTCCAGTTGTGCGCTTTTTATACAACTTCACCATTTCTATGCTTTTCTGAGCCCTTTTTTCTAGTTTTTCCCTACAGGTGATAATTTCTTGAATTTACGGTATGTGTAAAACGATTGTGAAGTGGAATTTGTTGTAGGCTTTGTTTCTTAATATTCAAGGTAATATTTTGTTGATTAAAAGGAGCTTTTCAAAATTATTCAATTTTTCAAATTCTTTCTGAAGATTTTTGTGATTTGCGGAATTTTGTTTGGTCATTTATTTTTTGTCTTTCTTATGAAGAACTCTAGTTAAATGCTTTTTACTACGCTATAAATGTATGAATCGTGCTCGAGTACTGGAAAACTAGGGCAATTTTTTTACAAGATGAGAACAGATAAAGCGTATATGTTGAGATTAACACAACTCACGCTAAATATCAGTACTTTTCGGATGACTTGCATATCATTTAATCTTTTTCATTTTTTATTTCCAATTATGGACCATTAGATTAAGATCCAGTGATGGAAGCGTTTGAGATCCTGGTCAACACGATTTTCATAGCATTATATACTTTTGCATGAACTTCTTTTCTGTTTCTTTAAAAGTTTTATTATAGATGCTCCCTTTTATACATATTTATACGCTAAGGAATGAAAAATATTATTGGGTCGTTTCATATCAAACTTTTCGTTATGTATGACAATCCCGCTCGTATTACACAGTTAGTAAATGATATGTTGCGCTTTTACATGTAACACAGTGTCTGATTTCGGAATTGCGTTCTTTGCTTACGGATAATTGCAATGGTTTTTTCAGAAGTACTCGGATTTCAAGATTTTATGATTTTAGATTTAAATCGTTTTATGTTAAAATCATGCAAGATTATTTCGACTAGAAATAGTCAACCAAGTGACAGTATTGCCTTTCCAACCTTTCTGAAACTTCGGTGGTGTGAAAAAAGAAAGGAAATATGTGCTTCTTTAATGTTCAGATGAGAAATTGGAAAGGATTATTACGATAAAACTATTACTGTTCTTATTATCAATAAATCCGATAATACGATGCACTGAATAATAACGGAGGGGAATTTGGGGTGAAGGGACGAGGAGTTTACATTTGATATATCGATAAATATAAATTTTGTGTGAAGTAGTTGAATTGATTCATCAAGAAGACAGTTCATGATGATTGGAAGAAGAGGAAGATGATTTTAATGAAAGAAGATACAATTGTCAACATGGCAGTAAGAGTGACATTTACGTAGTCAAACTATTCTCTATTTTTTAAGAAGCGTAGAACGAGTATAATCAATTCAGTAAATTTCACCTCGCCAAAAAATCAATTTTTTTAGCAAAAGAATTAGCTAGGAACATAAATTGCTTTCTCGGATGGGTATTTTATGGATGAGAATTAGGGGATGAAATGGACAGTGAAATGTAATCTTTTTTTTGAAATGTATAACGAATTTTTCATCAAATAATTGGGGTATTATGAATTTATGTATAGTCACATCCTGTAAACTATTATGTCAAGGAACTAATGCTTCCTGTTTTGGTCTTCTCGGAATCAAAAGATGACGCTGATATACCTATAATTTCTGCTACGTCAGGGAATTATTTTTTTCTAATAATTTGATGCGAAGATATTGCTTGGTTGTATGTAATGTGGAAACGGATAATTTCATATTAAAATTTTTTAACACTTCGTTCATATTTTTCAATTCTGTTAACCGCTTTCGTTTGCATTAACAATATATTGAGAAAAATTAAAACATTCTTATGAAATGATCCAAAGAATATTTAGTCTGAGACTAATATGTTTACTTGTTAGTTTGGAAGCAAATTTGTCAGATTAAAATGTATTTAGAAGTAATAAAATTTTTTTCTGTACGCACAAAATGATCTGACAAACTACACCATTAATATTACACGAAAGGCGTTATATTGTGGAAATTAAAACGAAAAAGAAAATACGCTATTGGGAAAAGAACTCATAATTTCCAAATATTAAAGAAAATCGATTAATTTCTTTATTTCAAATAAAATCTGAAAAGAAATAGTTGAATGTCTTTATCATTCTTATTCTTTGGTTTTTTATTTGAATAATATTGAGTTTTTGGGAATTTTTTTTTTTTATTCAAAGTTTTTTCATTGAAAAAAGTGGTGAACATCATTGGATCTAACACATTTTAATTTGAGCATATTTGGCCTGCTGAATGTTGTTTAAAGTGATTTGGGACGTTTAGTTATGTAAATGAATCGTGGACGAGTCGGACCGGTTGTTTCATCCGGATATCCGGTTATCAATGTTTTTAGCGTGGTAGCAGTTGTAGTAACACTTGTTGTTGTCGTTTTTGCAATTGTTTTTGCTGTCATTAATTTTATCTCCTCACTTCGTACTGTACTAGTTGTACTTTCTTTGTCTCCTAAAAAATTATGATGTTATCACAATAACCCATCGGGTATTGTGATATGACTTCTAGGATCATTTATAAATTTCACAACAATTGTCCATTCCTGAATTGTTGGTAACTAATTGATTAAAACTTTTATAAACTTACGCAAATATTATCTAGTGGCAGAAATAAAATTATCAAAAATACCTTTACTTACCAGCGTTTATCATACTTCAATATATTTGATCACAAATGTAAAACGGTGCTGTTATAATGTATTAGTATATAAATCTAATGTCACGATTTAATCTTCCTTACAGGTATAGAAAACTTTTACAAACTAGAATTTATTCTTCTAAAATAATTAATAAATGACCAAAAGACTATAACGTTCTATAATTTTCTGTATGTCATAAATTTACTTACCTTCACCATCCTTGGTATCGCCAATTGCAATACGACGATTTTGTGTAAGATAGTTTGCAATATCGCTAAGATGCTGTGATTGATGGACATTATTCTCCTCAACTCCAACTTCTGTTTCAGGATGAAATTCATCGTTATGTGTTAAATCAATTATTTGATCCTGAAAATTCATGCGAAAATTATATATATGCATATCTTTTTCAGATCAAATTATTACTTTAATAGCACAACAGATACCAAAAATAAAGCGTGGAAGATATTTCAAAATTATAAATATCACAAAATTTTTTAGTTGAAAAAGCAATCTTTTTCTATTTCTATTTAAACTTATGAAATAACTTAAATGATGAAGCAATAATAACATTTATTATTTTTTCAGTGCATATCACATCATAACCTAACTTTATTCTTTTTTTTTTCAAAACAAATTACTCTATAAAATTCGTACTTCTTAATTTTTCAAAAAAGTTTCCAAAATTTTTAAAAAATTCAAATTATTCAGTAAAAAAATTGCACCACATTCAAATTAGCATATATCATTGAAATTTTTACGGGGAAAAAAGCCTGCCGTACTTACTGAACTAATTTTATTTTCTTGATTATTAATAACCGGAAGAATTTTGGATGTTAATTGACGTTCTTGTTGTAATGATGATGCTAATGAGTTGCTTTGAATTTTCGTTCCATTCCAATTATGATCATTCTCGACAATCGTTATGTCTTCAACTTCACTATTCGCATTATGCAATAATGGCTTATCATTATTACCTGTACTAACTGAAATTTTAATGTTTCCATTAATCGAATATAAATTTTATTTAAATTTTTATAATGACTCATTTTTGTCATAATAGATGCTGCAGTTTTTCTTCTTTTGAAATTAATAAGATTTAAATGGTACTAAAATACTCCAAACTCCAGTTGTTGAAGTTTTAATTTAATCTGAAAAAATATCTCTTATATCATCGTATATCTCGCACTTTGAATAAATACAATAAAAAGTAAAGTGAAAAATATAGTTAAATTTTTTAAAAATAGCATTTCTATCATTTTGCTTGATTTTTTTCAGAAATTATTTGCAAACGAATAATATCGGAGCAAATTAGATATTAGACTGCAGGTATTATATGATGTAATGTCTTCCAAATAAGCAACATTTTTTCATCTAAAATAGGAAAAAGTAAAGGTAAGAAAGAATATCATTTAAATGAGATAGAAAAATTCATCTTCATCATAATTACCTTTATCATTGTCCTCATTATTCGGCACTTCATCATATTCAATAACAGTTAATTCGTGCGGGATATTTCTATGTTGAATATTCAATGATACGACAGATGATTGTTTTGACTTTACATTTGAAATTTTATTCTCATATTTTTGCATATTATGAATGATTGATGGTAATGATTGAGCATTATTAATTAGTGCCGGTATATGAGTTGAACCTTCGTGAAATTTTTCACTCTTCGTCTTCATTTTTGTCAATTGCTGTCGCTGTTTTGGTTTATTCTAAATAATTTTACTTTTTTTTTTTACCTGAATAATAATATGAAAGAATGTGAATGAAGGAAAGAATGCTTGCAATAGCTTTCAGAAATTTTAAACAGATTTTACTTTTTAAAAATTTTTTCTCTGCCTTTCTTTTTTCTCATCCCTCTCTCTCTTTTAAATGAGAATGAGAATGAAATTATATGTAAAGATATGTAATGATTTCTTTAAAGAAACAGAAACTTTTTGGTATAGACAAATATCGATTTTTAAGCTAAAATATTTTTGAATTTCTTTTACTAAGGCTTTTCAGAAGTATATCAATTACCTTTTTTTTTACATCGAGTAATTCCATTTCTAATGGACAAGGACAGAAGATTGCATTGGCGCCGGGTTCACCCATTGGGCCTCGAACACCCTTTGGACCAAAATTCCCGGGAAAACCATCCATTCCTTTAATGCCTTTCTTACCATCTAAGCCAGGGGGTCCATACACATAGTTTCGCTTTCCTAAAAATTAAAGTTCTGAATCTGAAATTATAAAGTTTTTAATTTAACATTAATTCATAAGCGAAATAGTAAGAGTTACCTCGAGGACCTTGCGGTCCAGTTCTGCCGATTGCTCCAGGTAATCCTTTTGGGCCTGGTTCTCCAAAACCACCGGTAGCAGGTTTTCCATCTGGTCCTTTTGGACCTCTCATTCCACTTGTCCCATTGAACCCTTCCGGACCTTCTGGACCAATTTCACCTAAAAAACACTTTAATTTAATAAGATGTTTTTCTGCATCAAATCTTATAAAATTGAAGTTCATGAAATACCATCTTGACCGTCGGATCCAGGAATTCCCGGGATACCTCGATCACCTTTCGGACCTTGTACTCCTTGATTACCAGGTGCTCCAGGAGGTCCACGTTCTCCTTGTGGACAAATGATGCATTGTTGCTGCATTTCTTCCAACAGTTCAAGCGTACTTTTTCCTGGTAATCCGATAAGTCCAACATCACCTTGCTCTCCATCCTCACCCGGGTCTCCTTGAAACAAATCGATTGAACTGATTTAAATTAATTTGAACCAAAGTTAAATTATAATAACTTGTGCACAAAATATTTGGATTATTTTGTAATGAAACATTCACGATCATACCTCGTGGTCCCGGTGGTCCAGGTTCTGGTGGTGGACAACTATTTATCGATTTTTTCTCACGTAGCAATACTTGACGTTTCTCAGTAAGATGCATATCGCCTATATCGGCTAATAACTGTAAATAAATATTAAAAATATAACTCATTTTAGCATTTCAACCCTTTTCCTAGCGGAAATTTACTTCTTTTGGAAGAAACTTCTTTTTCTATTTTTGGTAATTAATTGAAATAAATGATAAATAGCCAACCTTGAACAATTTCATGCGGCTCTCGACATCATGTCTTATAATACTAGTATGTTTGAAAAATATCGGCAATAAAATTAATTGTGCCAGTATTGTTAAAGCACTAATTAAGAAAGTTATGCCAGCTATAGCGCCATAAAACATCTAAATTTATAGGTAATGAAACAAATGCTAAACAGTAGTACGAAATATTGTTTGACAAATTTTACAATTGAAAGATAAAACATGCCTGAATAAAACAATAAATCTAAATTTAATAATAAATGAATTGGAATGAAACAATAAGTTCTGCTTAGTGAAACAATAGGACGAAGTTAAACAATAAGTATGTTAGTAAAAAAATGAAAGTATTGAAATCGTTCTATTTATTCTTTTTTTTTAAAAAAATTATTTTTTACCAAATAAATTAAATTTTTGCCCTTTAAAATTGATCAGTTCCTAATGCTATTACATTACCATTACAATGTATTCAACTATAAATATAACTTTATATGAATGAATTAGCAACAATTAATTAATGCAGAAATTAAATCCATAGATATACCAATCAACTTTACATGTCCATTAATTAATTACTGTTAATTGTCAAAAAAATATATGAAATATACAAGAAGTTTAGAAGTAAGTTATTTCAAAAAATAATTGTTAGATCGATGTACCGTTAACCAACAGATCTTGAATGGATACCATCACTACCATTTATTCATTTTTTTGTAATCTGAAATTATGAGAAGTAATGGGAATGTCTTTTCCATCGCTCTGAAACAATTTCACCTGAGAGAGAGAGAGGGAGAGAGAGGGGGAGAGAGAGAGGGAGAGAGAGAGGGAGAGAGAGAGGGAGAGAGAGAGAATTGACCTAATTTGAAATAACTGAAAATTTTTTCCCCTCCCTCTACAAAGAAATATATAACATGGGGTTTTGAAGACAGTGCTACCATTATTAATCATTATCATCTCTTTCTTCCTTCCTCTCTATTTCGCTTTCTCTCCCCCTCTCTATTTCCGTATCTTTTGAATAGAAATTTATTTAATACAATATGTCGAATAAATTTTAGAAAAGAAAGAGATGAATGAAAAAATGATGGTTTAATTGATCAGATGAATTGATTAAATTAAAATAAAATGATTGGTAGTTTGTAAAGTCAAGAAATAAATATGAAATAATAATAGGCGAAAAATTGAAATTAGTTATTAAAATAATTAGTTTTTTTCGTCCCTTTTACTGGTAGTAGTAATTCAGCATAATATTATTTGAAATGATTTACTCAGAATTAAATGGTGACAAAAATTTCTTTTTTTCGGCTTTTAAAAGATATGAACGAATGGAAATAAAAAAGATATATTTCATTCTATTCATTCTTTGCTTCCAACTCCATTTTTTACATCATTATTTCAATTTTTCCTATAAAATTAAAAATTAAACAGTAAATTGAAATATGAAATTTTATGGGATAGGACAAAATTATATTTGGAATGCTTTTTATTGGGAAAAAATCGAAAAAAGATAATCATTTAAAAATCGTTTTTTTTTTCTGAATAAGTTAATACTTTATTTATCAGTTACATACAAGCAATCACATACAAA